CCATGTGGCGTTTCCACCAGGAGGAAAATTCAAAAAATGAAGATTTATTGCTAGCCGCCAGTTGTTATATCCTTCTTTCCTCTTCATCCAATGTTGGAAAAATGAAACGCAAACGTTTTTGGATGAGACCAAGCTTAAAAAAGCGAGGAAGTTATTCCATTAATGAATTGTTAGTTCAGTTACGTGAGGATGATATTGGACTAAGTGGTGAGATTCGTTCAAGTTTTAAGAATTTTCTAAGAATGTCCACCGAGGATTTCGAGAATCTGATATGCCTTCTTGGTCCTGCAGTTGCCAAAAGACATACTAACTACAGAAATGCTATAAGTGTAACAGAAAGGTTAGCAATAACTTTAAGATTTCTATCAACAGGCGATTCCTACAACAGCCTCATGTATCTTTCAAAAGTATTAAAACAGTCCATATCTTTTGTCAGCGCGCACCGTCCACACTGCGCCGACAACTTGTCGTAAAATATGCAGACAAAATAGAGACCCTTTGATCTTTACCGACTGGCGACGGGACTTGCAACAGTCTCAGAATTTGGAAACAAAACCCAAATAAGACAAAAATGTATCGGATTTGTCGCCACTTTGTCGCGAAACATGAATGTTCTTGTCTTGTCGTTGTTTTGTCTGCTTGGTCTGGACCCGGCATTACAAGCGAACGGATACGACAGAAAAGACATAATCCACAGTACACGTCCAAAAAAAAGAAGAGAAATATCAGTGAAGATCAATCCCAAGGCACTGTCTATCTGCCATACATAGAAGGTGTCACCAACCGAATCGGGAAAATTCTAAAGAAGAAGATTAACACCGTCTTCAAACCAACTAAGAATATATCTGAGTATCTATGATCAGCAAAAGAGCAGAGATCCACTCAAATCGGCGGGAGTTTACGGGATTCCGTGTAACTATGGTGAAGTCTATATTGGTCAGACGAAATGAAGCATTGGTACCCGCTTACTCGAGCAAAAGCGGTGTTGCCGATTGGGACAAACCGAGAAGTCTGCAGTCGCATAACATGCACTGTCCGACGGGGAACACAAGATCCTGTTCGAAAATACCGAGAGGCTAGCAACTTCGAGTCATTATTCAACAAGAATGCATTTAGATGCCATAGAAATACACAAACAAAAAGAAGAGAGAACATCTCTACCAAAAATCTGGCACCCAGCTTTGAAAAGCGCCAAAACGAAGCCAAGTCAACCAAATCGCGCGGGAAGTACTTGTGAACCCGCCATTACAGAAAGCGCCCCAAAAACCAGCACTATAAATGACACGGCAGAAATAGAAGCTTCAGTTTCAGTTGACATGTCGAGAAGGGTACTTCGACTATGCCACTGAAGATGACTTCCGCAGTTGCAGTCGAAACGTTTGGAAATCATAACCAAAGAAGACCACAGCAAAACCCGGAAACCATTTAAAACATTACAAGACTAATGCAACATGTCGGGAAGAAAATAATAGGTACTGTTAAAATCGAAATAAAATTTTTTGGTTTTAGTTTTGGTTAATGTCAAATTATTGTAAACTCAGAATTTATTGTATTAGTTTGAGAATGTCTATATAGGACGAAAATGCAGTAACGTTAGTTACAATTAAAAGTGGTAAAAAACATAGAAATTTTCATTTCTCTTTTCATTATGATCTACCAAGTAGTAATGGCTACATCCATCAATTTATTTTCAAATTATTGTGTTTAATTAATCGAGTTGTTTTGTGTACAGATATTCGTACATTTATAATTCACAAATGAGTTTTATGTACAATATTATCCACACAAGAATAAGTGGAAATCGTTTTTTTATGTGGTGAGAATGTGCTATATCGAAATGTTGCTTGTATTCTCAATCACCAACATCCAGGAAGAAATATTCACTTTAGTACCGTGGGAAGGATATTGAAAACATTCAAATTAACTGGCTCTGTGGACAATCATTTCAAGAAACCACATAATTCAATAAAGCATAATGAAGAAGAACAACTCAATGTTTGTTTGAGCATTATTGAAAACGGAAAAACTAGTAGTATTAGTGAATATACACGGGTTAGCAGAGAAACTGTGAGAAGAATTTTGCACAAAAATAAATTCCATCCTTATAAGCCAAAGTTCATACACACTTTTAACGAAAGAGATTTTGATATTCGAGTATGATTTTCATTTTGGTCCCAAGGTGCATCAAAATATTTCGAACTCATCTGCAGGTAATGGGATACAAATCTGCTAAAGAAAGGAGTACAGGTGAAATAGGAATGAAGAGAAATAGATTTATTCAATTACTGACACAATAATGTCCATACATTGAAAATCAAAGTCACTTTAACAATGAAATGAAAAAGCTAGATGAACTTTGCAACAACAAAGATGAATTTCTGGAGGTGTATGCATTTCTTTTTCTGATAACAGGCCAATGCGGGTGTTTTCTGGGCAAGATAAGACAATCATTTCAAGAAACCACATAATTCAATAAAGCATAATGAAGAAGAACAACTCAATGTTTGTTTGAGCATTATTGAAAACGGAAAAACTAGGAAATAAAATAATGTCGCGAACTTTATGTGTGACACTGTATATATATTTAATAGGTTGATTTCTAACTATAAATTTCAGGTGTTGAAGGAGAAAAAACTGAAGATCACCATTACTTCGGCAGATATCCTACATAATGTATTGAAAACATGTGAATCTGCAATTTCTGAGGATATTCAGAGGGGTATTGATGATATCGTTGATTTCAAAACAAAACCAGAATCAAGCTATATACCTCATCCAGTAAGTGTGTCTTTCTAATGAAATGAAAATCAGCCACCTGGTGGGCAGACCCTTGCTGATTTCGTATGTCTAAATAAACTTATCTATCTCCAGCGGGAAATGACCCTAGAAGAACTAGAATGCCATCTCTTGGAGTTACAAGAGAAAAACATGGAAACTAGAGGTGTGTTGCGAAGGTTGATCCAACTGCATTCGAGATTGGGCAATGCTCAAAGAGCTGAACAACTGAGACAAATATTTTCAGAGGCAGGATACATTGAAACACTTGGTATGAAATCATCTATGATGCATAGCTACATAAATGGTGGACACCTAGAACCTGCATTAGATACGTTCAAGGAAATCAACAAGTTGGATCCCAACTTTAATATTGATAGTTTCAAACTATTAGATTTGGCAACACTTTTAGTTAAGGCTAATAGATATTCGGAGGCCACAGAAATTGTGCAGCCAAAAAATCAAATCAAGTATGTTGAACTGAATAAGCATATTTTTAATTTAACTTTAACTTATGCACTCTTTTCTTTCAAACTGAAAAACCAGATTTGTATTTATTTGTCATATATAAAAGATTGAATCGTTACTAAGTGTTTTTGGAATATATTTTTGACTTGTTGGTTGGATTAATAGAATTCTAGAAAAACAACAATATTTTGCCAACATTTCATATTTTATCAAGTTCTCTTCGGGGCTCTACAAAGAGAATAGTCTCACAACAAAACCTATAGAGACGACAACATTTATCACATACTAATTTTTATTAATTTCTAGTGTGTCGGCATTTCAGATGACACCTCTATATTTAAGCTATTTGAACAATTACACATATAAATTTTTGCAGAGACATACAGTTGCACATTTGTAAGGGTACTCAACAAAAATCTGACCTTCAAACACAGTCTACTGCGAATTTTTAAATTCACATTTTTAAGTTTTTTCACTAGTTCAGTCATCGCATGAAATCATTTCAAGTTTATAGAGAACAAAATTCGTACTGGTTGGCCGTGGTGAAACTTATACCAAACGTTTTGTCTGTTACTGCGGCAGACATCAGTGGTTCAAACTATTATATTTATCTTATCTTTATGACTACCATTGGACTTATCTCATGTCATGTAAATGAAAAAGAAGGCTGAAAAGTTGCCCTTATCTGAACTTTGAAGGGCCGTTACTTTATAAATAAGGGCGAGCGCCGCTTTTTTCTTTCGGATTCGTAATCTACGCATCAAAATACAACAAAGAGGTCGAATTGACGACCTCTTTGTTGAATGCACATAAGTTGTCGGTCCAGACAATTTCTATGGCAATTTTCTAGCATAATAGTAGTAATACTAATACATGCATCTGTTATTTTTTGTTTGAGATGGTCGATATTTGTACTTGGTGTTGAAAAAACTTTATCCTTCATGTATCCCCAGATAAAAAATCTAAAGGAGTAAGATCTGGGAATCGAACTGGCCAGGTAATTGGTCCATTGTTTCCAATCCATTTTCTTGGGAATATTGCGTCTAAATGTTCCCTTACTTTTGCTGCATTATGGAGGAGCGCCGTCCTGTTGAAAATATTGTATTTCATGGCGGATATTCAGTGGCAATTCATCTAAGTAGCCATCGAATTCATGGATAGAAAATGAAGATATATTTCACTATTCAAACGATCATCGTAAAAAGAGCCAAGAATGTTTGTTTCCACAATTCCCAACCAAGCATTTATTCCGAACCTTTCTTGGAAATTGGTTTCCCTATGTGAATGTTCATTTGTATTAATCCACCTATAATGGATATTTCTGTTAAACCAACCATTGTTGGTGAATTTTGATTCGTCCGTCCATATTATTTTTCTACAAATATTTCCAACTTCCCTATTTCTACGTCGTATCCTATAGCATTTATATTTGTTCTTTTTCAAAATAGTTCTGGTGGATTTTACAGAAATCCCCATTTCGTGATCAATTTCTCGTAAAGAACCATCTTGATTGGCATAATTTTTGTAACTGGCCAATCCTTTACAAAAAAAGATGTTTTCACTTTGTAAATTTTTATGTGGTAATATTTGCTTACCCATAACATTTATTTGATTCCTCACACTTCCAGTAACCACACATTTTCTTGTTTTCTTTTTGTCAAATGCACCATAGTCCCTCAAATTTCTTTCTAATCGTCTAAACATTTAGATGTTTGGAATACGACGATTTGGGTATAGCTCAACATACATATTCCTTGATTATACATATTCTATTTGATTTTGCATAACTAAATAGCATAGCACTCCTTTCATCATTTAAATACATCTTTGTAATGTTCATAAACGTCAGAAATAATTCCATTCGAAAAAACGAAAAACGGCATTTTTTGATTTCCCTCGTATAACTCGAGAAGGACGAGAGTCCCCGTAAATTTTCTTCAACCATTGTATTTTTCCAGATGACAGTTATCTTTTTTCCCATTTAATTGTCTTTGTATCTGTTACGGTTTAGAATATAGCAATATTACCACATGATAAAAGAAACGGGCCTGTATATACTAAATGGTTAAATGTTACAATTCTTGATCAATTTTATTCACTGGTTTGTTGCTAAATGTGAAAAAGGGAAATTTCCAAGAACAAGTGGGAACAAAATATTGAAAATTGAATTAACAATTCATTCTTAAAAGAGGTAAATTTTCACTAACAATGATGTTTTTGTTCAACACCTCTGTTATAATTTTCACCACTTGTTTTAAGACAATTGAAAATTTTAGAGTACTGGGTGGACCTGCTATACTAAGAAATTGCTTGGAACTTCTGAAAGCCTACAAAGATGAAAACGAACAAAACACTATGTTTGATTTGCTGGTTGATGAAGGTTACTGCAAGGTTAATAATATTATTTTAGGACCCCTGGTACGGATACATTTGATCAAGTATGCTATATATATTTATTATTTTCTTATAAGTATTGATCTTTTTCAAATCTAGTGGAAATTTGGAAAAAGCAGCGGCTACCTACATTTTTTTGTCAAGAAAACATAAATGTACCCCCTTACAACTAGAAGTGATAAAGGAAATAGGAAAAACGGAGAATGAGACATTACTTCAAAAAGTACTAGATGCAACTGCTGCGGTTCATGGATATGATTCCACTCAAGCGGTGTTGATTACTGCCTTTGCAGAAAATGGACAGAAGAAAGCTTTGAACAAAGTTCTCACAGTAGGTGTAATAGGGTAAGATATTCAAAATGTTGTATTTCTATAATTCTTCCAGGCTCAGAGATGTTCTTTTCAAAAAGCTCTTGAAAAACGTTGTGAACGTTGGGTCCAGGAAAGGAAGCTGGAAGCTCTACTAACATTGGCCAGTTGCACTGAAAGGTTGTCTAAAGAAGTAATTGACATCAACTTCATTTTCAGATGCATTATGAAAATTCACAGTAAGTATGTTTCGTTCATTCATTTGAACTCTGTGTCTTGATTTATAGGGATGGATGCTCCCATTTCCCTAGGTTTCTGCCACTACCTGTGTTTGGCCCTACTATCTAAGCTGCCTCTGTTATTCTACCTGTATTGTCATGTGCTGAATTTTGCTTTTGGGGTTGAGCGGTCTGTTTGCTTTTGTGAAGCAATAAAAAGGAACACCATGTTGTTGGTAATCTTTCCGCATCATCCCTCTTGTTCATATTACTAGGTCGTTTTTCAATTTCCATAACCTCTCTGATTGTTCAAGAGTAGAAGTTTTCATTGCTTGCTTGTATTTACGTGTTCTCGAAATTGAGGTTGTATTCTGTCGCCAATAGGTATTGGAAGAGAAAAGAGGTGGTCACTATTCGATGTACCGTGTGGCCTAGTGTACCGTCCGGCTTTTTCATGATCAACCAGCGGACAAAGGCAATGCAACAGTAGTGTTGAACACCAAAGACTGTTAATTCAAAATGATGAAACAACTACAGGACCCAGCCTACAAAAAATAGTTAGAGATCCAACTACCTATCTGGAGAAAATCACAAAAACTGCCATCAATAATTTTCCTAACGACGACGAAATTAAAAGACATCTGATTCCAAGAGAGAAATCATCTAAATGCCCTAAACTTTATGGACTCCCCAAAGTCCACAAAGAAGGGGCACCACTTAAACACATCGTGAGCCCGGTAGGTTCACCAGTGCATCAACTAGCGCGAAACACATTGCTCGTGACTCCAACCACATGCGAAAAAGGTCGATTCATATGTGCGCATCGCCATTCATACCATTTTGAAAGAAAGAATCAAGAAGTGACGTCTCATGAACTTTCAAACTACTATCATCAATGAAGGATTTTGAACAAATTCTACATTGAAATGATTTTTCCCCAGTTTGACTTCTTTCATGAGATCTCAAAGAAAAAATGTGTCTGAAAGTTTTTGGACAGACCGTACATTGGAACGGATTTTCTCTTTTATGAACTTTCAATTCACCACTTCGAGTGAAAGATTTGAAACAGCTTCTACACTTGAATGCTGAAGTACATTGCATCAAAAGCACTTACTTCATCTATAACAAAAAACTTCAGAAACCAACCAATTCCTATCAACACCTGGAAATATGGGTTTCCGGATTATTTGCCTTGATCAGTACCATATAGTCAAATACTAAAGTTGTCAAGACAGTATTTAGTTCATGCGGACATCCGACATAATTAATTTCATAAACTACACTTTACAATTTGATCGTAGTGAATTACATATGTAATTCACTACGAAAAAGCTACTGTGTTAGCAAAACATGTGATATTTTAAAAAATAAAGTTTGTGGCGATCAAGTCGTAAGGTGTAGTTTATGAAATTACTATTGATCTTCATCAAGTAACGGCCAAATCAATCAGAAAAAAAATCTGAGATAACCACTGAGGAACACCTATGTGACATAACAAATGGAAAAAAGTTTTTGTTGATATTTGAACGTTTTTTAAATATCAACAACTGCAAAAAGGTTTTCTTCATTAGTACAGTGCAGTCAAGTAGTAGAAATGCGCAACCGAAAGCCAATAAACCGGAAACACATATCTGCAGTTTGCATTTTTCTAAACTTAAATCAAAAGTTATTTTATTCATTGTAGAAATAATTGAAGATATTTCAGTTTCCTTCATTTCCATTGGTTGAATTCAACTATTTTACTTAATATGATATATTCCTTTTTTATGAAGATTATATGTTTTTTTTAGGTATAAACAATGACTGTGAATCTGCTGTGAAGTTTTACGAATATTTGCTAATGAGAGAGATGCCCATTCCCAGAGAAATCCTAGAATTGCTAAATAAGTTGCTTAAATATAATAATTATGAGCTACCATTATTTTCAAATAAATAGTGAATAAAAAGTAGATTTTACTGAACTTTCTCCAGATAAAAATTTATTCCAATCTCATGTCATTACACATCAAAGAATCGCATTACATAATCCACGATGCCAATCTACCTATGATGTGATTTCTTTATGGTATACAGTTTCTAAGTCGATTAATGTATTCTACATACACACTTTAATGTGAGATGTCCACTTGAATAGCATCTTTGGGCAGGTGTATTGCGACACCTGAATATACTATTGTATAGCGAAACCTTTCAAATGGAAATCTCACATCGAAGTGATTTTTTTTGAATACATTATAATGGATTTTCATCAAGTATAAGTTCTATCATAAGTTGATTAATTATTTTGGGGTATTCACTTGAAAATTATTAAACTATTCACTTTACAAAAAACCTAACATTCTCTCAGAATTTGATGAGGCAAACTAAATTTATTAATACTTCTGACTACCTACCATTTAGTGAATCCAGCAAATACGGCAACCTAATAAAGTAATCAAATTTTAGTAGCCAATAAATATTATCGTTATTTTTTTTTTCAATATTATCAGTTATTACTTACAATAGTGTATATCCTTTGAATAATTTTTCATAAAAACAAACACAATATTTCAAATTTTTTCTATTAATAATATTAATGGTAGTAATATGCACAATAAAATAAAATACATAAACTGTACATATTTTATGATACAGAACAGAATGACGGTGACTGCAGAAAACAATCTGAAATAAAATATATTGTCAAACTGTTCTTCAACAATATCTGTTAGAATACGAATGCTTTTATATACATCCCTTACTTCGATAAAAAACTAAGTTATAAATAATACATACTAATATTTTTATACATCAGACTCTGGTGCCAAAAATGGGAACAAATATCAATCCAAACAATATATATGTGAGTTCAGTACTAACATCTAAATAATTTGTTGAACTAGTCTTAGTAAATGTGAAAGTTTATTTTGGAAATTGGAAAATAACCTCTCAAAGTCATTAACTTTTTCACAATAAAAACATTAGTGTAGTCATAGAAATCCACAATGCAGATACTATTTCCATTATCAAAGTATTAAATGAATTGATTTTATAGTACCTTCAGAAACTTAAGAAATAAAAGGAGAGGCAGATCCGATATTGGTCAAACAACGCAAACAATAATCTGTTTAAGATTAAACACTAAATTTTAACAATTTAAAAATAAAAAATACAAGTCATTTTCAGCGACCCAACTTACACAATTCAAAGATAAATGATATATGGTTTGTGTTTGTATGAACTGATATTTTCTTTGAAATATTGTTCATCACGTACCTTGCTTCGACACAAGAAATGAAATAAATGTGGATTAGATGACATTAAAATGAATTTTCACATGAGTGTAAGTAAACAATAAGTCCCATAAAAATTTAACTATTCCTTCATAAAACACTTTTGTGAAGTCCGAGCAACAAATTTTCATGAAAATGTTCTTGGCATTTCATGAAATAATTCTAAAAAAAAAAGAATCAAACAGACCAGAAACAGGATCAGATAATATAAAAGGAGAATAATGAAAATACAAGTAATGAGTCAGGTAAGAAGTCCAAAACAATTTTCACAAAGATATTCAAGGGAAGTTAAACCAAAAATAAGATGTTCATACATGAAGCAAATGACTTTTTTTTGGCACAATAAACCAGAACAAACGACTTAAATATCGACATAATAAATGACAGTGGGCACCAATTTAACATTATAGTAGGAGAGCCCAATAGGGGATTTACTCCCGCGTGGCAGATTAACATATGGAGGATTCCTAGCATCCTTGATTACCATATCTAAGCCCTCTATACAGACCAGCGAATGTACGACAGCTGATCAGAATACTAAAAAAAAAACTCCATAATCTGAAATTCTCAAGGAAGTCGGTGGGGCATTATGAATCGTGGGCTTCCTTATCATTAATGATAAAAAATTATCCACCTCTAAAAAAAGGCATGGAAACATACTTTTCTGAAAGTTTTGAAATTTACCCTTTTTTTGTATTAGTGAAATCCGATATATTCTCATTTATCTTCATCCAGTAACTATGAAAATAACTTCAGAGTTCTCATGACAATCATTGAGTAGACACTGAATGTTCTTCCAGAGTTACAGAAGAAAAGAAAAATCACTTCAAACTATTCAGTCAATGCATTTTGTACATAGTAAATAGGAGAAATAAAGGCGCTAATTTTGTTACAATTTTCCAGTATTGAAACTGTCGAGCAAATTCCTTAGATGCCATCTTTGTTGCTCTAACACGCTATTTTGTTATTGATATAAAGCAGCATTTATATTCGATACATTCAGTCTGTGTATGTGTAAAGTAATATGTACACTTTTCATCTACTTCATTTTGTTCATATTGATAGGCACTTCATCGACCATTACTCAATGCATAACTAATAAAAAAACAGAGGTTATCCGTCTGAGAAACTGCTTCTCGTGGAACTCAAATGAAAATCACCAAGATCAGAAGGAAGTGTCAGAGGGGTTATCGGCCCATAGATTCGTTCTTGTTCTTCTAGTTGCTGAGCAAATGCTTCTTCCAATTTCTGGAAATGAAGAAAATTATGATTAATATTATATACTTCGAATAAATAAATCTAATAAAAGGGTAACTGAGGGCCTGTTTGTACAAGGCAGATATTAGGGTCTTATTTACACAATGAAACCCTACAAGGATTTTTAGAATTTGTGTCTGTATGCTGATTTGTGTGCGCTAATTTCAAGAACAACAAAACTGATTTGGGTGCGGCTTTCACTAATGTATTGTTGAAAGCTTCACTTAACATTTAGTGTTTGTTTCATATCAATTGGTTCATACATGAAAATTCATTTCAAATTAAAGAATCGCCTTAAAAAAAGCTTTTTTGAGCTTCCACCGTTTGAAAAGATAATATTTACAGGAAAGTATCTTCAAAATCTTTGGACGTGAAAATGCTAGAATATCATGAAAGTAAATTGAAAGGGGTATATTTTTAGAAAAGAATAATTTTTGGGAAAGAAACGTTTTGTCTTTCTACTTCTCAATCTTCATACAAAAAATGTGAGAATCTTCCATTTTGCGTTTGAAAGTTACTTCTTTGCATGTCAATCGTTTATTTGGAAATCGATATCTTTCTTCCTTTCTTTGTAATATTCCCACATTTGTTTGTTCAAAGATGGAGAAGTAGAAAACCAAAACCTTTTTTTTTCCCCAGCATGAAAGTAGTTTTTGAAAAATCATTACTTTTTTTGGAAATGTTTCCATAGGTTTGGGAGGACGATATTGTTAGATGAGCATCTATGAATGGAGTATTTTGATGAGCGAAATACCAGGAAGTCACAAGAAACAATGTTCTCAAAAATTAATTTCAGTCTATAATAGAAATTCTTTTTTTTTTGGAAATGTTCCCATCAGTTTGTGTGTAGGGTCATATTTTCAAGAAGGTATATAATGAATGAAGTCTTTCAATGAGTAAAATACCAGGTTGTTACCAAAAGTAGTTTCCTAAAAATTAATTTTCAGTCTTTGAATTTTTTTTTTCAATTGAAGTATTTTGATGAATGAAATAAAAAGTTGTCACACAAAATAGTTTCCGGAAAAATAAATTTCAGTCTTTATTATTTTTTCTAAGTGGTCCCAACTGGTCAACAACGTCTAGCCAGGCAAATTTTGAAACAGCTCAATATCAACAAGGCGTCTGGTCCTGATGAAGTGCCCTTCATCGTACTCAAAAAGTGCGCCAATTAACTCGCACCAGTATTTTGCAGACTTTTCAACCTGTCTTACAAGGAAGGTGTTTTTACTTCTTGTTGGAAGATTGCTCGCGTTCAGCCTATTCCCAAAAAGAGTAAGAAAACCAGTCGCTTTGCTATCAGTGTAATCAAAAATCATAGAAAAAGCCAAAAACCACCATATCCTTAAATATTTGGAAGGCTTCAACATTTTGAACGATCATCAATATGGCTTTCGGAACCAAAAATTGGAATAACACAATAGAGAAACATGGAGAGTCAAGAGCTGTTGCACTTGAGGTCTTTGACCATGTGTGGCATGAGGGTTTGCAGGCCAAACTTNTTTACATTTCGTCACCCTTTTAGAATTGCCATTTATAAAAAGATATAAATAAGATAATGTACTTTTTGGCAACTTATTTTTATATAGGCAAAATGTGTGGTTAATATTCAACTATTGATCTAAAATAATTTCCAAGGATTAACTCTATTTCAACTGATCAATTTATTAGTTTATTTTATGGTTAAATTGGCGAATAACTCAACATTTTTTCTACCTTGCAGTTATAGCTGAACCCTGTGGTACTCCAGTATATATTTTTTTTCTGAATACTGAATATTTACACTTTTCTCTACTCAGTTTGTATTCCAAACATTCCTTATGGAATTGAATCAGATATCATTCACAGGATTCCTATACAATGTACTAAATGAAACTACATGGAACATGTAACATCGATGTCTATCAGTGAGGATGACAGTGTTCCATGTAAATGAAATGTTTACCTTTCATTTACTCTATTGTGTAGCAATCCTGAGAATCATATCTGATTCAATTCCATAACGTTTACAATACATAAGGTTTAGAATACAAACTGAGTGGAGAAAAGTGTTTTTTGTATAATTTAGTGTTCATATAAGAATATTTGTCTCGAAAGAATTTTTCTTTTGTTTAAAACAAAACAATGTTTATATGAAAGTAGCTGTTTCAGGAAGGCTTTTTCTTCCAGTTTGTCTGAAAGTTACTTCTTTGCATGATTTACACATCTATGTATAGAGCTACTTCTTTTGAAATTGATTGCTTCCTTTCTTTCTTTGTATCAAGATGGAGTAGTAGAAAGCCAAAAACTTTCTTTCCCAAAAATTAATCACTCCTAAAAATATAACCCTTTGAATTTAAAATATGAAATGTTTGGTACTTATGGGACTGAACTTTTATATAAAAAAATGGTTGTTGTATGATACTAAATATAAGTATCAATTTTGACTCATATATTTCTGATTTTTGATAGTGGAGAAAAAATTGGAATATATCAATATTTAGAATAAATCATTCAAAAGCACTTACCATACCATTATCGTCAAATATCTATTTTTGCTATTTCCAATAGAATTTGTCTGTTCATGACAGTTGTATTGTCCTAAATACTGTTGAGAAGTTGAATAGTAAATCACTAATTATTTCACTAGTTCTTCTCAAATATTCTTTCAATGAGTGAAATACCAGATTGTCACCAAAAGTAGTTTCCTAAAAAATTATTTTCAGTCTTCAAAAAAATCATTTTTTTTAATTGTTTACATAGGTTTGGGAAGATATTTTCAGGTGAAGTGGTCCCAACTGGTCGACGTCTAGCCAGGCGAATTTTGAAACAACTCAATATCAACAAGGCGTCTGGTCCTGATGAAGTGCCTTTCATCGTACTCAAAAAGTGCGACAACTAACTCGCACCAGTATTTTGCAGACTTCAATCTGTCTTACCAGGAAGGGGTTTTTCCTTCTTGTTGGAAGATTGCTCGCGTTCAGCCTATTCCCAAAAAATGGAAGAAAACCAGTCTCTTTGCTATCAGTGTAATCAAAAATCATGGAGTAAGCCAAAAACCACCATATCGTTAAATATTTGGAAGGCTTCATCGTCTTGAACGATCATCAATATGGCTTTCGGAACCAAATATTGAAATAACACAATAGACAAACATGGAGAGTGAAGAGCTGTTGCACTTGATATTTCTAAGGTCTTTGACCGTGTGTGGCATGAGGGTTTGCTGGCCAAACTTTGATACTGAGGCTTGTTGGATCATTTTTGTGTATGGCTCTCCAGATTCCTGAGAGAGCGTACCCGGCAAGTGGCCGTCAATGGATATCTTTCGAATACTTTTACCATCAATGCTGGTGTTCCCCAGGGATTCATATTGTCTCCAACCCTCTTTTTTATTGTATATCAAAGACTTATTGGAAAAACCGAGAATCCAATATATCGCTTTGCTGACAGCAACACACTTGTCTCTTCATTCCATTTGGATTCCATGACATCAGCTGCAGATGCAAAAATAAATGAAGTCTTTCAATGAGTGAAATACCAACTTGTGAAGTAGTTTTGTGAAAAATAAATTTCAGTCTTTATTAAAAATAAAAAAAAATTAAAATATTTCCATAGGTTTAAGAAAATGATATTTTCAAGAGTATCAACTATAAAGTCTTTCAATAAGGAAAAATAAGGTTGTCACNTTGATATTTTTATTTATTTTAATTCAAGTCAATTTAATTACAATGAAATAAAATTATAACAACAAGTTTAGGATAAAAATCTTTGTATATAAAATGTTTCTGTATAAAAAATCTCACTAAAAAAATTGTTAATAATATTAATAATGTACTTCTATTTTGGATATTTTGGTCCCATATTTTAAAATTTCACTTCAAGATTGAAATTTGTACATTTTGAAATAATTTCGAATCTATATCTGAATGTAGTTGATGTAGTTTGCAGATAAAAAAAGAATTAGAATTGGTACATGTTTGCTTACATAGAGTGAACAATAAATGAATTATCTCGAAAATATTTTTTTTTATCTTTCAATAGGTCATCTATTGACGTTCTTGTCGCATTGCTGATATCATTTCTGTCGGATTTCAATCAATCATCTTTATTGTTCATTACAACTTTACAGTTTTTTAACAATGTGAGTTCACCTAATAGTGATTTTCTTTGACTATTCGGGACATTACATCCCAAAATTTTTTACAGTTTCAATTGAAAAATCGTATTACATTAGGAAATTTTCAAAAGAATTGATGTTATGAAATAATTTTTCCATTCACTGAGAAGTTGAATAGTAAATCACTAATTATTTCACTAGTTCTTCTCAAATTTTGAATTTCCTCGACAATATTTTTTTTTTACTTGAGGAACGAGAGAATTCGACATCTTTGAGTTAGGAAAAATTATCACTGTTATGTATACTAATTTGGTGAAATAAAAAGTCACACTATTTTTCAAAATAATAAATTATCAAGAACTACAAACCTTTAATGACCAATATGATGAAGATCCAAAAAAGGGATAACACAACAAGAAAAGCAGCAAAGCAAACAAAAATAAATAACATGAATGTAACAAAAAAAGAATGGCACACACATACAGACAAAAAAAGAGGTTGAACTCCTGAAACCTATGAAAAAACAGAAAAAGCAAGACGAATGAATGAAATCAAACTTCTATTGAGTATTTGCAGATCATGCCAAAATAACAAATTAATACTTGTGATGTTATTGATGTTGATTGTAAATTTTTGTCACAGATCAGTTCTGATATAAAAACTAATCAAAATATAGCAACAATTTGAAAGAAAATGAAAACCCAGTCTTATTGAGTTTTTTGTTGAAAAAGTAGAGTACTTATCCAGCTCTATAAAAAAGTTAAGCTTAACAATCTTATTTTCACAAAGTTTACTAATTGAAATGTTAAAAAAAATTTTGAACGTGGCTGTAAGTGGAGATTAAAATGTCAAAATTAACAAAATAGCAATATGCCATCAAATGGGAAAATAATAAGCATTTTTCCTGAGTATTCCATTGACCAAAACCACCACCTAGGGTGCAATTCTTGATATTATCCATAATTGGGAAATGGTCAANTTTATCTTTCAATAGGTCATCTATTGACGTTCTTGTCGCATTGCTGATATCATTTCTGTCGGATTTCAATCAATCATCTTTATTGTTCATTACAACTTTACAGTTTTTTAACAATGTGAGTTCACCTATTAGTGATTTTCTTTGACAATTCGGGACATTACATCCCAAAATTTTTGACTTTTTCAATTGAAAAATCGTATTACATTACGAAATTTTCAAAAGAATTGACGTTATGAAATGATTTTCCATTCACACCAGAAGTAGAACATCGTCTCTCAACATGTATTTACTTTATCATATTTTTAATCGGAAGTTGATGTTTTAGTTATATTTCAAAATATATTATCATTTATAGTTTTATGAAACAAAATGAGCAAACATATATTTTTATTCATATATTGTTTTAATATTATTCAATTTTCCTGTGTGCTGAAGAAGTTAGCTATTTGTAATTTTTACCAAGAACGTACTAGTCACCAAACAATAAAGTTTGATTATTTCTTTTTAAAAATCAACAAGCATTGGTATAGCAATGTATGACGTTTTCAGAAAAACATCAGGTGGAATTTAAATTGGGACGGTTCTTCTGACAACAGAAGTGTAAGCTTAGCTTACTAAAAAATATAGAAAATTAATGTAAAAATCATTTTCAATCAATTTTTGGCTCAAAACTCACCAACTTTCTTTCTTATCGGAGAAACAGTTACCCTTTAATTCATTATTATTTTTCAAAAATATTCGACAACAATAAGGCAGTTGGTTCTTGAACTCCTCGGAACCTCAACTTAGTAATATGACCACTTTGTTAAAGCATACCGTCAGAGTAGAAGCAAAAGAAATTATACAATGTTATTATCTGAATTTAAGAACAATAACAATTATTTTGGATATCATTTCATCATCAGTGAAAGTTTCTGCACATATATTTGAATAAAAAATGATGTGTTAATAAGAAGTAAGTGCATCAAAAAAAATATCAAACTTATTCAGTGTAGATTCTCTAACCTGCTTTCTCGGTTTTAATTTTGCCTTCCACTCTTTCAATTCGATGCTAAAAGCTTCTTCTCGTTGCTTCAATTTCATCGATTCATGTTCCAGAAGCATTTTTCGCTTCTCGTTCTGCAACTGCTCCAGTTCTTTTACAGTTGCATCGCTCATAGCCCTCAGTTCTTCCAGCTGGCGCTGGTGTTTCAGTTCGAACCTCTGCTGTTCTGCCTGGTAACGTTTTTTCTCTTTTTCTTGGAACTGAAATAAATATATTCACAAAAAATTTATAGCAGGAAACTTCTGATAGCATGTTACATTTTTCTATATTACTACTTCTATAAATTATTACTACCTCTTTGAAACGATTTTTCTCCATATCTGGATCATTAGCTCCCGATATAGAAATCCTCATCGATTCCCTAAACATAGCTTCTCGTGCTTTCATTTCAGTTCTTATTCTTTTTGGTAGTGATCTCCTCTCGATCTGTTGTTTCTTTAATAGCTCTTCTTCTTTCCGGGAAGCTCTCCTTTTGATTTGTTCTTTTTCTTTTTCGTGTCTTGTCAACATTTGATGCCTCTGAAATAATTAAATAGGTGCTACTCAAAATATCATGGTGAAAAATGTAATTACCATACATTCAGAATTACCATTACTATAACCACTGGCACTGCTATTTCATGAGCTTTCTGAATTGATCATCTTTTTTTAATTGAATAATCTTAATGAAAGATATATGGAGAAACTTTACTATTATATTGAAAAAACACATGAATACAACTTTACAGTAGTGATATTGTCTCCCACAAAAAGGTTCCATTTTGTGTAAAGGTCAATCATTCATTCATTTATTCATCCATACAGGCTGATTATAATAATAATAATGTTTATTTGAATAAAATTCAACATTTTATCTTATGAACTATGTAAAACAAATAAACAAGGAGAGAAACTGCAAAGCCATTGGCTGTCCGCGGTGAGGGTGGTTTATTAATAGTTATTTCTTCCTTGAGTATTTCAAATTTAAATTATGTAATACAATGTAGGTTGCAATTTTTCAACATAGATAAAATATATACAGTAAAATTTGTAAAATAATGTTTAGTTACCAAGTGCATGGATATGGTGAAATTTCCAGACTATAACCTACAGTAAACAAACATGAATCCCACAGAAACTCGAGGTTGTACATGGGAATCCGGTAAGTACACATGTATGATAGCCATAAAACGCAATTTCCATGTCAGTTGGCAATTAAATAATTATTCCTTGTACATATGTATACCTAAATTGATGAATTTATTTGCTAACACGAATTCAAATCTATTGCCTATTTCTCATTTATAATTCAGGAAGTCATGTATATTATTTCTCTGCAAACGCCACGCAGCGCCATTAACTCGTCGAGATATATTATGAATAGAACTGGTCCAAGTACTGTGCCTTGGGGTATTCCACACAGAATCTCTTTCTCATTGCTATAGGTTTCATTTATTTTTACCATTTGTTTTTTCGCTGATAGATAGCTTGAGAAGAGCCTGTGAGGGGTCCCCCGAATACCTATTCTCTCCAACGCTTCTAGTAGTAAGGTATGATCCACTTTGTCGAAAGCCTTGGAGAGATCTAGGAAGATGCACAGGGCTGGGTACCCATCATCAACAGCTTCATATAATCTCTTTAGAAGATTACTGATGGCGTCATTTGTTGATTTTCCTTCCCCTAACCCAAATTGATTCTTTGTATTTTTTATCAAAAGGTTCAGATGATTTTTATATTTTTTGTACTCTTCTCTATGAATGTTAGGGTTCTCTTTGAATTTTTTATGGATTTAAGCAATGTAATGTAAGTAATGGAGCGAAGTAATCCCGCCGTCTTCCTTGGTTTTCTACGAATGTTTTTTTATTGTTTGTTTGACTAAAGTAGTTCTATGTTTATTGGTATTCTGGAGCGTCTCGATGAAATAGCTTGCTGCTCGTTGTGTATTTCTCATATTATAGAATATTGTCCAGTCGAGAGCACCTAGATCAAGCTCAACTTGTTCGTAATCAGTAAATTTTTTGTATCTCGATGTGCCGCTAGCTTTTATGTGATGGTTTTCAAAGAGGATACTTACAACTTCTGTATAATGATCAGTTAGGTTTGTTTTTAATATACATGGTAGATAATTATTTTTTATATTTGTAGTAGTATTTTCAAGAAAGCAATGATCAATACAACTTGCAGACTCGTTTTGTTCACGGGTCTTTTTCTTGATTAGTGAGATGAAGTTGTATTCACCTACTATGTTCAGAGAATCATTGACAATTCTATCATTCACTTCTAACAAATTCAAATTCATGTCACCGATAATTATGTGGTTTTTCATTGCTTTTTTTTGTTATAGGTACACACCTAAATGGTCTATGAAAATTTCGGAACTCCCAGATGGGGATCCATAAATGCCAGTGATCATTATATTAGTTTTGCTACATGTTGTTATTTCTAATTCTATACATTTACTGTCCTCTATGCTTACTATTCTGCTTGTTTGAATTTGTATAATTATATTGGCTCAAAATAAATATTATTACTCCATCATTTTTGTTTTTTGTGCCTTCACTGTGTAGTAAGTCATATCCAACCGGTGAAAAGAAATTTGGGTCCTGTACCTGGAATGTTTCACTCAATACGATACAATCAAAATTTATTTTACTTTTGTTGAGCATAATTGTGAATTCATCAAAATGTTATGCAATGCTTCAAATATTATTATTATTAGCCTAACTACATGGAATTTCACAAACTACACCTAACAATTTGATCTTCACAAACATTTATTTTCAAAAATATCACGTCATGTTTTGCTATTACATGTAAACAAATAGATCTCTGATAAAATTTTGTTGTTAAAATTAATAAATACCATTGCAAAATAATTTCAAAACTAATTGAGAAACTTTTGAAGGTTAAGTTGACAAATCATCTAATAGTGATAATCTGTGACTCGTATCGAAGGCCTTTACCTATGTTACAAAATACTACACACACAGAACAGAAAATTGACACCTTCAAATTAATTAATATTACTTTTGGTTTAAAAAAATTGTAGGATAATGATCCGAAATAAATTTTGAACTTCTGATATTGTAAGTAAAAAAAAACTATTGTATAAATCATAGGAACGAATTGGTCTTTTATTACTATATTGATAATAGTTAAACTGAAAACATTTGAAGATATGCTAATCTTTCCAAGACACATTCGATATAGGACTATAAATATGGTCCCAAAAATGTAATTCAAGACAGTGGGTTAAAAAATTATTCTAATGTATTACCTGTAAGATGAAAATCTCTTTTATTTGACGCTTTATCAGTTGGTGCTTTTCGTGGATGTGCCTCTCCTCAATTTCCCAAAGAGCAGCTTCTCTCGTTCTAGTCAACTGTTGTTTTTGCTGCAAAAATTGTCGTTCCATGAGAGCAATTTTTTCTCGATGGGCGTCGCTGAGTCGACGAAGTGAAGTTTCGTGGTTTTCATTTAATTTTTCGAGGAAAGCTTTCTCACGCTCCAAATGTTCGGCATCCATCTTATCTTTTCGGATCTTAAACTCCGTCTTGCGCCGCTCTTTTGGCAACATATCCACTTCATATTTTAGCAAACGCAGTTCTGCCTTGAGACTTTCCCGAAATTGTTTGAGGTCTCTTTCTTGTTCGGAACGTATTTTTTTTGAAGTCGCTCTCAAGTCAGCGTCTTGATGAGCCTCCGCCCTTTCAATCTGCATTCTTTGCTGTCTGCTCAACATTTCTAAGTCGTTTTCATAAGTCCTTTCGAGATTTTGCATCTCCTGTTCGAATTTTTTATCCTGTTGTTCTATAGTGAGTTGTTCTTTGGTAGCGAGGTCCTGAAATTGTTTTTGTTCTTGCTTTTGGAGATATTTTAATTCTCGCAACTCCTGTTTTCTATCACTGTGAGGATCGCTAAGATTGTAATTGTCTTCGTCAGAATATATTACTTTACTGGTTGTGGTGGTGATGAGGACACCATCTATGACAAATTTCCTAGTACGTTTTCTAGTTTTACGGATTTGCATGGCTGCTGTTTCTTGTTTGGTTTTAGGAGGTTTGCGTAGGACTACTGCATTGTCATCATCTAAACCAAAACATATAAGATCAGTTTTCTAAAAGCTCATAAAAAAATGGACTATGAAAAGTATTCAATTTATTTGAGAATTATGATTTTGCGACAATTACATCCCTTAGAGAAAACAAAATTTGAGCCATCAGGCTGTGGTCAAAAGGAACTTGTAGGAGTCTGCGGCAGAAGCAGACAAAACATTTTGTACAAGTTCCTTTCGACCAAGGTAATAGCCTTGATTTTGTTCTCTCTAACCACGACTTCGACCGTGAAAGCCTATGGTTCTTATTACTCTTTATTACTCTCTAAGTCATTGAATAGAATCAGATTGAAATAATCCTTGAAAAAGCTGTGTCCAGCTGTAGAGCACAATACAGCTGAAACCCAGTAAGTCACCAGACATCTTAAAAAAATGCTTCAGTAGAATTAAATCTGTGACGCTAGTTTAGAATCGAATAAAACCTGGGTTGTGTGATATATTGTTATTAGCAAGTATTTTATCGAAATATCTTGTAAATTTTTTCATTACTTCATGTCTTCCAAATGCCGTAATATTTTTCTTCTATCATTGACGTGTTTCTTATACAAGTGTTTTTCTGTATTGATCATAGGTTTGAATAAAGGGTAGAATTTTCCAAAATATTGTGACCTACTCTGAGATTGCTTGAGCTAAAGAAATAAAAGAATGCATACTGTAAGAGGACACTTCGAAAATAACAAAATAAAATACGCATATCAACATTACAAGTCCTAATAACAATACATTTGTAAACAATCAAATAAAAAAACTAATAGATATATCAAAAACCTTACCTGCAGACATGATCCGTTTGTCATCCTTTTCGTTACTTCCTCGACTTTCTTGACTAGCTATAGATATATTTTCAACGTCGGATTGTTCAATACTTTTACTAGCAACTGAAATAGGTCTCCTGTGAGAGTCATTACTTCTAACAGATCCACAGTCACTGTGTGATCTGTAAAAAAATTAAAAACTTTGTTTATCAAAGTTTCTGAATCAGTGGAAAGAAATAGATATAGGTTCACTCTCAAAATACATTAGGTGTGTTCGTTCAATATCTATCTGAGCGCTAGAGCTCGCTTTGCTCGGAAAACGTTCGACAATGCTGATCTGTTATCTCAGTTACATCTGCTCTGTGTTCGGAGATTACAAGAGCGAGTAAAAATATAGAAATATATCTACTGTATATGCAGAGGATGAATAGGTAGCCAAATATTTTTTTTTATTATAAACCTCCGAACAAAACATTTTTGATTGTCACTAACTAGTATTCATTAATCAGTTTTGCCCTTAAATTGAATAATCGATAGAAAAAATTAAATAATTCTTCAGATTGTTGACGTTATGAAAAAAAATCTTCTTCCGTTTACAAACCCAAAAAAATTTACTAGTGAATAACGCCTTTGACACACGTCAGCAGATTCTGTATTGATTCATCTTTATTAATTTTTTTTCAGATTGTGGAAGGTTATATACCTAAAAGACAGTAAGAAGCATAAATTGTATTATTTCAGATTTTTTAAATCTTCAGATTGTAAATTGTGTTACAATAGCTCAAACTGATTTATCAATTCTTCAAGGAATAATACAAATCATGAGTTCTATCAATTTCTATCTCCTATTTATGTAAGTATGTGACTATGAACTGATGCTTGTTGGTTGTATTTTAGTAGCTCTAAACTAGACTTGGCCAATGAATACCAAAAACTGCCGTAACATTTTTCTCATTTCTTGCACTTCTTTGTATTTCTTAATAAAGCCGATTTATCATTAATACCTGTTATCATGGATTTAATAATCAATGAGTATAGCCAATACATCATGTCTGATTTCAGTCTCCATGATATATGTGCACGTGGCCTTTCTTAATATCCTGGCTCAAAGTTGGTTCCAGGTTAATTCTAGGATCTAGAATAATCCCAGATATTTAACTTATGTGGACAGTTGTCTCATGTATGTGTATGAATGAACACGCTTAAAGAAGCTATTGTATAGTGAAATACGTGTTGCGATTATGTAAATTGTTGAGTGAAAATACAACGATAAATTGTTATTTGAATACTTATATAATTTTAAAGTAAATACAAAACTGATCGTTCTTAGATCAGACCTGTAGTTGTCTAATAACTTACGATTTATTTCAATAACTGGTCCATTTCATCATAAAATTGGTCTTAAATCCAATTTGTGAAGACACATGGGTTAACTTTTATTTACTCTAAATATTGTATACCTATTCAATCCTACCAACTGCGCCGTGTTAGGGAGGCGATTCTAATATATGGATATTAGGATTATCACTTTGAATAAATGAAACAATTGGAGGTTAATTGAACAAATTTTTCTTTTAGTTCCATATTCAGAAAACCCTGTTGTTCCAATTATAGTAATGATATTGTTTATATTGAAAGGGGTATATATTTAGGATATCTTTCCCAAAAATGATATCATATTCTTGTCGTTTCCTTTCAGCTAATTTGCTGTATTATAACTATTTTCATGCCATTCTAGTTCATTATTATAATTTAGTTACAAAATATAGTATATCATTTGCCCTGCGACGACAAAAACAGAAATAAGGTGTTTAAATTAACTTATTAATAACCTTCATTATCGATTTCACAGAATTGACATTTCTATTATTCAAATATTAAGACACGCCCGAGGAAGCCATTGTATGGCGAAACGCGTGTTGCGTTTTTGTAAAACTGTCTAGTGAAAATCAGACAATAAAGTGTTTTTAGAATACGTTTATTATACATAAACGAATTTCTGGTGTGGGAAAACACTTTTCCCACACCAGAACAGAAGTACTAATTCTCGACGGGCGTTTCTTTAATCAAATTAGCATCATCATGAGATGGCTAGAACTATGACGAAAATTTGGTTAGCTGAACGCTCGTCAAGAGTCAGTATTTTTGTTCTGGTGCAGAGAGAGGTACTCAATAGATTCATTTTATGCCAGAGTTTCCTACCTATCTGGCCAGATTTTATTAATGTCAATTTTCCCTTCCTTTCTATTGAAATTGAAACCAAAATACTTCCAAACAACAGAACTCCAAACATCAAGTTCACATATGAAATCGAAAACAACGAGGAGTTACCATTCTCAGATGTCTTAGTGATTAAAAATAACCAGGTTCTGATGTCTACAGAAAGAATACCAGTACTGACCACAACACAAAATGGCAGGTACAAACTTTCTAGTTCATAGGCTTGTTACGTTCTCCTTGAGTGAAAAAAAGGTATGATATTGAAAAAACTGTTATTAGGGTCATAGCTGAAAGCAACAAGTGTTCCTCAAATCTTGTGGATGAGTTAATTAACTAGGAAACGTTGGTTTGAGAAGAATCTTCTTCTTTTCAAAAAGACATGTATTCAAAGTGTATTTATTGTCCCTCTGTATGAAGCAAGATACACTAATAGTTGAATGTGGAAGGAGTCTTCAAAACTCCTCACTCAGTTCAACAAATTTTAGGTAACCCTAAAGACGCGTTATTGGAAAATGAAAAGTCGGAAATATATGAAATAAAAGCAAATGAAAATATAGTCAAATTCAAATCCACCTTGAAATCATTTTTGATTGACAACTGTTTTTATTCCCTAACAGAGTTTACTGAACAATTACTAAAATGAAATAACATATTCTCATCCCCTACATAGCACCAGGCATTTTATTCCCAACTCTACATGTACGAACTTTTAAAAAATATGTATTGTATTATTGTATTGTTAGTATTTTTAGGTGTATTTTTCGTTTTTTATTAAGATGTATTGTAATTTTATCCTGATTCGCAACCGAACACGGTTATTAGACTTATCTCATGTCATGTAAATGATTCGAAGAGATCAATAAATCTATCTATCTATCTATCTATCTATCTATCTATGAAATAAGCTGTGAGGATTGTGGCGGAAATTATATTGGTCAGACTAAGCGAGCCATTAAAACTCGTTTCAAAAAACACGCAGCACATATCCGATTTTGAACACCAGAAAAATATAGTGTTGCTCAACACGTTCAGGAGGACGCCCGTAGAATAAATGCAAACTGTCTGAAATTGTACATGACACTAGATTTTTTGGTGCTTTTGGAAGTCTGGAATAACAAAGTGTGGCAAGAGAACTATGAACAGAGACAAAGGTGGTCATCTCTGGTCTCCGAGACTAGACCCTTGTTTTCAAAAAAATAGAAATCTCTTTTGAATGACTGTCGATGGAAAAAAGAAAATATTTGGAGCCTACAATGGAAGTCGTCTTCATTAATACACAATGATCGGGGTGTATCAGGTCCAAAATTTCAGTTGTTTCCCAGATTCCTAAATGCATCTCAGTTTGCTTTCCTTTTGAGTATATAACACAAAAGTTCACATCAAAGAATCCTGCACTGACAGCTGTCGGATATAATCCAAGCCCTTCGTTGTATTAGCCAGGAGAGTAGTTGTTTTCTCATAGGTGTCAGTCCATGAATCTACTATGCAGGTAAGGAAACACTGGCCTGAACGAATTGTTTCTTTAGATGATTTGATTTATAGCCAGTCTTCAATGCCCACTTACTATAGGTGAAATTCACATCGAACTTTGTACAGAGTGGGCTAAATTGGACACTTTAAAAATCCAACGCCCTTTGTGGTATTAGCCAGGGGGGTAGTTGTTTTCTGATAGGCGTCAGTTCATTCAACCTACTGTGTAGGTATATTTGAGACTGGCTTGAACGTTTAAAGTTAATTTCTTCAGTTCTTTGATTGATGACTTGTTTATTTTGTGGAAATTCATGTTCACTGAGGATACACTACAAAAACACACCTTTGTCTATTTTCCACGATATTTCTTTATTGTTGACTAGTTTCGGCTATTACACCATTTCTTTAGATTTCTTTAGATTTGTTTACTGCCAGTCACACATCCATCAGTTTTCATCTATCTAGTTTGAAAACAGGAGTTTCCCTTTAAAAGTGTCCAATTTGGCCCACTCTGTACAACTAAAACTGATAAGATTTGCAGAAAATTCCTGATCCTTTTGATCATGTGTCCCAATCGATATTGCCACAATTCTCCATTTGTTTTCTCTTGTGTTTGCTTGAAGTTGGGCAATTTTATTGTGATAATATTATTGCAAATAGTAGGAACACTGCAAAAAAGGCTTGGAGGATTATAAATGAAATCCAAGGTAAGTCAAGTAATGGAAGTAACCAAGTGTAACTCTCTTCATTCAGGTTTGAAGGCCGTCGTAGTTTGGAACTGCATCGTAACGTTTCGCCAGCACGAGTGGCTGGCTTCTTTATCGGTGAATCATCAAGATGAATAAACCTCTGAAGAAGCCAGCCACTTGTGCTACATAATACATACAGAAAATATAGGAAATCAATACACGTAAATAATCATATGATCAACAAAAGGTTGAATTTTCAAAACTGTTGAGTTTATCTTCATGAAAAATTTACTAGAATTAGTCAAATCATTGGTAATAATAATTTTACTGGCTTTGTACCTAATGGATACCTGTACTCAAACTACTGGTTGACAATTATAGTACAATTTCATAATAGTAGGTAGGTACTAAATTCTCAGAAATATTATTGCAATAAAACAAAAACATTGTTGTCAAGGTTGTGAATCTATATATTTCATCATCATTTTTCCTCATATGCCACAAGACAGATTAAGGAAAAAACCTCAGTCATTTATAGTATAGTAATGTCTATTAATTAAGTGTGGTTATTTGTATAAATTGCATTGTGTATTAGTGTAAGTACCAATCCAACTGTGGAAACTACTGATGTAGTGAAACGTATTTCAGAAATAAAAGACTATATTGTGAAGATTCGTTGATTTTTATCAAATAACAGGTCAGTGTATTCAAAAAACTCATTAATTTATTTTAATCTGTAAACAAAAAATCTCAAATCCACATATTCCAGAAAATCTATATTTAAATTTTTGAGTCAATGAAAA